CTGCTTCTCCCTCTGACTCTCCCCCCTCTCATGTGCTCTCTCTGATTCTCTCTCTCTCAAATAAATAAATAAAATCTTTAAAGAAAAAGAAAAACACATCCTCAGGGTGCCTGGGTGGCTCAGTCGTTGAGCGTCTGCCTTCGGCTCAGGTCATGATCCGGGGGTCCTGGGATCGAGCGAGCCCCGCATCAGGCTCCCTGCTAAGCGGGGAATCTGCTTCTCCCTCTCCCACTCCCCCTGCTTGTGTTCCCTCTCTCGTTGTGTCTCTCTGTGTCAAATAAATAAATAAAATCTCAAAAAAAAAAAAAGAAAGAAAGAAATACACATCCTCAGGCCCTACCCCCAACCTACTGAATCAGAAACTCTGGGGGTGCAGCCCAGAAACCCAAGTTTTAACATGCCTACAACTGATTCATATGCTTACTAGGGCTGAGAATCGCTGCCCTAAGGTGGTGTTTCTTTCCTTCCTATCCTGGCTAAGCTTCTCAAAGTGTCATCCCTAATAGAGGTTCTCAACCTTGGCTGCAAATTATAATCACCTAAGGGAGCTTTAAAAAACACTGACACCTAGACCACTCCTAGACATTCTGAGTTCAGGGGCTGGAGTGTAGCCTGGGTACTGAAATGTTTAAAACTTCCCAGGTCACTCTAATGTGCAAGCAAAGCTGAGAACCACTGATCTAGTCTCAGTACCTCCAGCTGTAATTATTTGTTTATTAATCCTTGACCACCAGTACTATGTGGTGTGGAGGTATAAATGTGGCGAAATAAATAAAATCACTTAGCTTTACTAAATCTCAACTTCTGCATTTCTCAGGCAGGATCTTTTTGGTCTCTCAGCTGGATGCCTGGGGTAAGGCTTTAAAGAAGTTTCTCACTGGCAGAGCAGGTCTCTGTCATTGTTCAGTACAACACTAGTATCTCTATTTTGTTCTCAACACTTCAGTCGCTCTCTGGAAAACCTAGGTAGTCTTGCCCTGAGCATGTGTAGTCCGGCCCTTGGCCAAAGACTTGCCAGTATCCTTTCCAGCAGATTCTAGCACGTTCCCCTATAGAATTCTGCTCTCCGCCTCCTCAGTTCAGTGGGACTACCGCACTATGCTTGGACTTCAGGTAGAAGAGCACAGTTGGGAAATGGTACACAGCAGACAGCCAAGGCA